ACACCTCTCAACTTTAATTTCTACTACTCTCCTCCCTCCTCTCTCTCTCTCTCCCTCTCTCTTTCTATCTCTCTCTGCTTACTTAGAATATAATTCTACGAATCAAAAGTTTTTAACGTGAAATTTACAAATCTTCTCTCGTTTTCAACTCGTTATATAATATATTTTAAGTGTAATATATTTCCCTTGGAGAAGCTAGCTTTTCAACGGAAAAGAAAAATGCGATTTTATCTTCTTTTTTTTTTTTTTTCTATTCTATTCACGGATAATCTTCCAAGTTTTAATTTTTCTCCCTCGATCGACAAAAAGAAAAAAAAAAAAGAAAAATACGAAGCTACATTGCTCTCGCAACGAGGAAAAAATTTTTCACAAAGAATCCCAAGAATTCGTCGACTTGTTAAATATCTACGGGTACAGCTAGTAATAGTAATAGTGGTAGTAGTAGTGGTAGATATCGCGTTTCTTGCTTTACCTCTGGCTGCAACGATCGATCGGCAATATACTTCGACCGAATTATCAAACCGGATGCCTTTCGAAATAACGAACGAAATCCATCTCGTTGGTGTTCGTTACGGAGCAACGAAGATATTTTATATTATTTTCGTCTTTTTCTTTCGTTTCTTTCTTCTCGAGGTAAGGAAAAGAGAATGGAAAATGAAAGAAAAAAGGAAAAAATATTCAATCCGGTAAAGGATCTACCTCTCGAAAGGAATCTCTTTTTTTGAAACTTTACTCGTTAACGACCTCTCTGTCTCTTAGTTATTTATATTTATAGGATATATATATTTATATATACGACGTTATACACCTATTGTCGAAAACCCTGTATATAATATATTTACAGATCCACCCCCGAGAAGGAAAAGAAAAAAAGAAAAATAACAGAGACACGTATTCGATTATTACAGGTGTATACAGGTGCTCGAACGCGTTATATCGTAATGTATAACAAAGAGCGAAGAGGAAAGTTCGTTTATACGAAGCAGGCCGACAGTTTGACCGACAATTTATGATTTTACACTGGATGATGGCGTATGGGTGATCCTTTGGCTAATAGCGCCTCTATTACAACCAAGCGTTCGTCATTTCTCTCTCTCTCTCTCTCTCTCGTTACTCTCGTGGTTCTCTCTAATATTAATTCGGCCAACGCTGCTGGGGATATTATTACGTTATCCACGTGACGCACGTTTCGAAAACGAGACATTCGATTTGAAAGCGTGATATATACGTGTTAACCTCCGATAACTCGATCGGAAAGACACGAAATTACGGGAAACGTCGCGATTTACCTCCATTTATATTCCTCGCCTACCACCTCCGTAAATCCGTTGCGAAAACCGAGGACCTCGCGATTTTTCCACGGGAAACGGGACATTTCCTTTCGCGCGAGAAAGGGAGAGGGAGAGAGAGAGAGAGAAAAAAAGAATTACAATCGCACTGAAGTTTATTCGCTTCTGATTCGAAAGGTGGTGAATATATTTCGAGCCTTGGTTCAGATTTGTATTTAGGGAATGAAACGATATGGTATATATAGGTCAGAGAGTGCAATAATTTTGTTTCGTCATGTTTTCGAAATTTCCCGAATTAACGCGCGTATTAAAATTCGCTCGAATCGGTTAAATGTTTTGTTGGGAAACGTAGGAGGGGGATCGAATGGACGAGTCTCGAAGGAAGGTTTTCGAAAAATTTAAACGGTTTTCGCGATTAGAGTAGCTAGATAAAAGTATCTTCCCTACTTTGTTTTTTTTTTCTTTTTTTCTTGTTTATTTAGATTCCCCTTTAACGCATTCCCTGCCATTTTTGATCGAATCGCGCCATTTTCAGGCAAAATGGTTTTCATCGAAAATGGTAAACGTAGCAAAAGTTCGATGAATGTAGCGTATATAAAAAAAAATAATCTCTGCTACATTTTCAAAGTTAATTTCTCTCCCTTCCCCTTTTTCGGATACAAAAACGTACAAAATTTGGTCTCCATACATATCCGGTGTTATATCTATAACACGACGTGACGTGGCGTCTCTTTAACGAGGTGCGTCGAAAAAAAAAAGAAGAAAAAAAATTTCCGCGTAACCGAGGAAAAATCGTGTTGGTTTCGTTTCGAAAAGCGTGGTATTCCAATTTCCATCAATTCGCGGTTTCAGCGCGAGATTTGCGCATCAACGCGATAAATATTTACACCTAGCCTCTATGCACCCCGTCAGGACGACGTGACCGTGCATGTACACACCGTACAAATTTAATATGTCAGCAAGACCGCGGACCGTGACAATTCGAAAGTGGAAAGCTCTCCGCGAAGCGGAGAGTTCGAAAAAAAAAAAGGGGAGGAAAAAAAAACGTTATTCGAAATAATTCTTTCAAAACGCATCCCTTTACAAGGGGGATGCTAGCGTTGATGGGATAAATAAAATAAAGGATAAGGGGAAGAGAGAAGGAAGGAAAGAAATCGAGAGAAAAATTCGAGAGATATTCCTTTGGCGATCCTTCCTTGTGTCCCTTCTCGTGGAAAAATCGGTGGAAAACCGATGGAACGCCGTTTTTTTGACGTTGTCGTTCGTCATCGAGTCGCTGTCGCCATTTCTTTTTCCTCCCCCCTTTTTTTTTTTTTAACTGTTACTCGATACACGTGTCATATATAATTATCAATTGGATTAAACGCACGCACGCACTCACGCATACACACATACATACACGCAAGTAACAAGTGAAGTAAGGCTCGGTACTCGCATCGGATTAATTATTATTATTATTATTATACGTGTATGAGATATAGTGTATGTACATGTACAAAGCGAAAGACCGAGAGAGGTGGTTGATCGGTTCCGATTTTCTGAAAGTAAGATAAGGTGGTGGCGCTTTCGCTTTCCGGCTAACACTAACGGAACTCGGTCTGATCGAGGTTTAACTTCTCCCGTGTGTGTATGTGTGTGTGTATAAACATATATATATATATATATGTTTTATGCGTATGCGTGTACATTGCGTGTGGAAATGAGAGAAAGAGAAAAGAAAGAAGAAAAAAAAAACGAAGAAAGAAAGAAAGAAAGAAAGAGAGGAGACGGTCACGTGTATCATGTGTCAATTTATGAACTCGTTATACCGGCGTCTTTGGCAGTTTCCTGCGCGTCGGTGATGAAGGCGTTTTATCCGTTTCCCCTTCTGAAAAAAAATATACATTTCACGTGTCAACGTGCGTTAATAATAACAATAACAACAACAACAACAACAACAACAATATTAATATAATCTCAAAGGGAAAAAATCTCCGTAACGATTGGAAAAGTCAAATCGTGAAAAATCGAAAATCGTTCCATCGTTCGATTATTTTCATTTCCCTCCCCCTCTTCTCGAACTCCCCTTCAAACGATGCGATAAAGAGAAAGGAAGAGAGAGGAAAAGAAAAAAAAGCAAACGAAAAAAGAACGTACCCGTTTAATCCGTGATACACGGCGAGAAGACGAACAAGCTGCTACTGACGAGCGCAAAACAATCAACTCTTCTCTTCCTCTTCTCTTCCTTCCCCTCCCTTCCTCCCCCGTTCCCTATCGTTTTTTCCACTCTCGAAAACCCGCGCGTGCACGAGTCGGGCGAATCCTCCGCGCGAGCTATCGATTTTAAAGCCGACGATGCACTCTACCACCCTCCTCTACGATTCATCTAACGATTCATCTAACGATTCATCTTTTTTCCCCGCCGTACACGTGTACACACACACGCACGCACATATATCGGACGATTTCGTACTCACCCATCAGCAGTCCCAGATTCCCCGGCACTTTTCCAGATGGCACCGCGGCTAAATCCTCCGGCAGGTCCCCGCTGCGTTTGCATTCGTGTCACGTAAAAAGTAGCGATGGTTGATAAAAGCAATTCGGCTTAACTACTTTTTCGCAATTCGATTCGACTATGATGTTATTATTATTATTATTATTATCATCGCTCTCCTTTCTTTTTCTCTCTATAATTATTTTGAAACTGATTATTTTTTTTCTTCTCTTTTTTTTTCGAGTAATTATATGTATATATATTTTCATTGTCCTTCGAATTTGAAAAATTG